CTCATGGTACATATTTGTGCAATGCGTCAACAAGTCGAATATCAAAACTAATAAGCTAGCTCAATCGTTAAGTAAAAGTTAGGTTTTAAGCGGTGCTCAAAAAAGCTCGCCGCAACAGCTGTCGTGGCGCTCCATGGCTTAAGGTTTGTGTCTCACGTCACGTTATGCCTGTGACACGCCATTGACCTAATGCGCGTTTTTATAACACAAGATTTGATTTTTCTTACTTTTTTTTAATATGTTATTTGTTAGTTTCCAATGTATAACCTAATTTAAATTATTTAATATCATTGACTTACTGAGTAATAATAAGAAATTATGTTTATATGTATAATAATTTATATCATATAAAGATTTACCACCATAAGTCACATCTTAAAAAGGCCGTGACCTCACCGTGGCTCCCAAGGCTTGAGGCTTGACTTCGCCGCCACGTCATGCCTTGCCTCTCGCCATCTTTAACGTTGGTTTTAAGTGGATTCATTTAAAAAGCTCTCCTTTTCTTAAATGATATTAGCCTATATTCCATTATTGTCAACAATAATGTATGGACAAATCAATATTTTATTGAAAAGAGAAAATAAAACAAGAAGTTAAATAAATATTTTATTCAAATCTGGCTCCCAACGGCCAACGTTTGTAATATTCAAAAGGATATTGTTTTTAAACTTTAAAAACTTGGATTCAGTCGTTCATGTTTGTCAATTCACAACGGTTTTAGTTCCTATGTTTAAACCTTTTTCATTAAGTCTAGTTAAATAAAAGATACTTTAGTCATTTTTAGTATTTTTTTTAGTTTTATATTAAAATAAAAAATATTATATTTTTAATTTTAAATTGTAAAAAAACAAGAAAGATAACCACCATCTCTTATTTTTCTTTTTCTATATATATTTTTTATTTTAGAATTCAAAGTTAAAAATATAATATGTTTTTTATTTTAATATAATAAAAATAATAAAAATGACTAAAGACCTCTTATTTAATTAGATTTAATTAAAAAAGTTAATGACCGTTAACGAACGTTAGGAATCGACAAATGTAAAGTATCAAACCTGAGTTTTTAAATCTAAGGATGATATGTGCTGAAAATTGAAAATATTAGGGACCAAAATTGAAGTTCACTCTTAATAAAATGTTAGGTGCACCATTCTTTGAAGAACTCTGTGTACTCCGATTTCTCCGATCAAATCTTCTTCCTCTCTATAAACGGACGAAGAAGGCGGCCATTAATATATGTGAAGGCTGCGTACCTCATCATTTCTTTCGCAGGTAGGTCACTCATCATTCATTTTATTTGTTTTGTTAATAAATTTGTACTTTTGTTTTATCATATGATAATATGGGGAATCGTAATCGAGCCCTTTCCCCCAATTTTAAAATGAGAAATTGGATTTTCTGCCTTACATCTTTTCTTTGAAAAACCTGGTTTCTGATTTTTGAAATTAAAATTATGGTGGGGATGCTTGTTGTTTACCTAGTTCGTCTGTTATAGCTTACTTTAATTCTGGGCTTGTATCTTAAAACACTATTGACAAATCAGGTTCACATGAAAATAGAAAAAGGCATCAGGTGAAGTAAATGCAAAAATAAAAGGTAAAAAAGAGGCAATTCAGTGGAGGTGAAATCATAAGAGGCTTTTGATTTCATGACAAGTTGGTATCACATCTCAAACAGAATATGTAATCCCAAAGGCATTGAACCAAGAAAACCGAACTCTTAACTACGTTTTTCAACATGGATA